CATTGTCTGTATTTCAAAAATACTTCTTCTGTGCCTGTATTTTTGTTACTCTATGTGGATGACATGCTGATAATTAGTCCTTCTCTGAATGCTATTAAAGATGTGCAAAAATGCATTTGTGCGAATTTTGCCATGAAAGACCTTGGTGATGCCAAGAGGATCCTAGGCATAAACATTTTCAGGGATAGGAGTAAGCGTACTCTTACTTTGAATCAGATTTTTTACATAGAAAAAGTTTTGAGTAAATTCAATATGTTATCTGCTTCTCCTGTTAATGTCCCTTTGGCATCTCACTTTGTGTTAAGTAAGGACCAGTCTCCCAAGACTACTCCTGAAATTGAGAAAATGAAATATGTGCCTTATTCCAGTGCAATAGGGTCGGTGATGTATCTCATGGTTAGCACTAGACCTGATATTGCATATGCGGTTAGTTGCTTGAGTAGATATATGTCCAACCCTGGTTTGCCCCATTGGAATGCTCTTAAGTGGTTGCTTAGATATCTGATTTCTACTGTGAAGCATGGATTAATTTTCTCTAAATGTGCTAGTGGTATTGAATTGATTGGTTATGTTGATTGTAACTATGCAAATGATAGAGATAACAGGAAGTCGACCACTTCTTATGTTTTTACTTTGTGTGGCTCTTGCATTAGTTGGAAGTCTCAACAATAGCCTATTGTGGCCCTTTCTACCACTGAGTACGAGTATGTTGCAGCCACAGAAGCGTTTAAGGAAGCCATCTGGCTCAAACGCATTGTCTCCGAAATTGGGTTTCTCAAAAAGGGAGTTACCATTTTCTCGGATAGCCAATCGGCTATCCAACTTTGCAAAAATCCTGTATTTCATGATAGAACTAAGCATATTGATGTTAGGTTCCATTTCATACGTGATATTGTTGATGCAGGTGGAGTCAAGCTGTGCAAGATCCCGTCAGAGTTTAACCCTGCGGATATGGGTACCAAGTGTCTTTCTGCTGAGAAGCACTTGTCCTGTAAACGCGTGTTAAACTTTGACTGTGGATAACTGTGGGTTCCGTAATAAAGTGTTTGCCCGTTTTATCTGTTGATATTCCGGGTGACCCGACGATGATGAGTCTCCTCACAGCCTGTTTTGCTACTCTACACCACCTAGGACCAATAAGGTGGAGAATGTTGGAGGTATTGGTCCTACCAAGGCCTCCCTTCCACTTTATTATTAAGGCTTGCACCCCATGTTTACTCCCACTTTGATTCCCTTAGTTGAAATCACTCATTGGTGCTTGTTGACTTACAATATGTGAGCCCCCCTTTTTTGTTGTTGTCCGCTGCACCTCCTGTCTGGCAGCCCGTGACTACCTGTTGATTAGCCTCACCCGTGACTTCCCTTGGCAGCCTATTTGTAGTCCTTTGTTTGCCCCTTTGAGTGAAGCCTGCGTGAATTCCTCTTCCAGAGAGCAGTGTCTTCCTTCTTCCTTTCCTTGTGTGAGAGTTCCTTTGTGGAGTGAAGAAGAGTGAGTAAATATGGGAGATGTTGTGGCCTAGCCCTAGAGGGTGTGTGTGAGTTTAGTCTAGAGTGGTTGGAGACCTGAGCCGGAGACGGATACGATCCTAACAAGGGGGCCCCAATCCCGACGGGGCGGTACGTTAGGAGGATGTAAATTGGACTATAATACCAATTTGACAGAGAGAGAGTGAGTCAGTGAGACTCTGTCTCCGGTACTTGCAGAGGCTCTATGCATATTTTAGCACAGTAACTTCTCATCGCAGTTGTCGAGATTCGAACCCGAGACCTAATCCTTGTGACACTCTCTCGCTACCAGTTGTCTTAATGTATAGAATATAAACCTATAATTCATATATGTACATCGTTTGAAACTGACAATAAACAAAGTAGTTGTCATTAAAAACTTAATATGGGCACGTATCAGAATAGGCGAGTGTCGCACCCAACGAATGTGATATGTCAAACTTATTTTTCGGCGTCAATTTTTCAAGAAGGATGTGCAAGTAATCGATCATTAAGTATTTAAGTACGGAGTATTTTGTAGACTTGTATTTGACCACCGTCCTGTAAAATAGTGAGTATTTTGAACATTGACTCATTTAGATTTTAGAGTGCTCGTTCCCTGCCGGCTGCCGCTCTTCATACTATGTGTCAGTTTGTAGGTGTAATAACTTTTGTAATGCATGATTTTCCCTTTTGAGGAAATAGATATTCATTAATAATAAATCAAATGCAACTTTGTAGTTTATGTGAGTGTTTGGAATTTTGGTGTGTCTAGATAAGATGGTGAGAGAGGCCTCTTTATTCATAACCAAAAATCTAAAGCTACCTCATTTTCATTTTGTATCTACACCTTATTTTTGTATCTGAAGCAATTATTTTATGGGGTTGAGATTTTGTGAGTCACTCGATGAGGGATGTATAAATGGGGTACCCCAAAATTGGGTACCTCTAGCATTTCTCTCTTGATCATTGACCACATATTTGCATGAGCCGCCAGGAGCGGAGTCAGGACACTAGGTCGGATTTGACCGATACAAACAATATTTTTAGAAAAAAATTTACACGAAATTTTTTACGTTAAAAATTAAGCCATTTTTCAAATTTGGGGTGGGCCATGGCCTAGGTTGGCCCACCCCTAGCTCCGCCCATGGCATGAGGTGTACAATCAACTTGTAGTAAGTTTTTATCCGTTCTCATACTTTGTTAGAACTGTATGATGAAAAAGTGTTAGAATCCCACACCGGAAGAGTTTGAATCAACAAAATGCTATATTAAGACATGTGCTACTCCTCCGATCCTATCAAGTTGATCTTTTAGGATGGAACCCCAGATCTTAACATGGCATCAGAGCCAAACCGATCCATAACGATGAAGTGGGTCCCCTTATGAAAAAATGACGACACGATTAAAAAATGATAATGACGAACCGACGAAAAAATGATTGACGGCACGATCCAGACGAAGTGTCTGGTCGTAAGGAGGGGTGTTAGAATCCCACACCGGAAAAGTTTGAATCAACAAAATGCTATATTAAGACATGAGTTACTCCTCCTATCAGGTTGACCTTTTAGGATGGAACCCCAGATCTTAACAGAAAGTATATTATAACGGTGTAGAAATATAGCTGAACCGGATATCACTTCTAGTCATGTATAGAATACGTTTTCTTAAAAGTTTACTATCTACCCTTATCACAGTAACCGAGTTACAAGACAGAACTTTTGGAATAAAAAGAAGACGTGTGGTGTATTTTAGTTATTGATAAAATAATATCGAAAAGTGATTTGTATATAATGTAGTTTAAATATTTTATTAGAAATGCTGCTGATAATAGTACTCCTTCCGTCTCGAATTGAATTCCAAACTCTGACCAGCATAAGGATTAAGGAATGGTAATAAATGATGTTTGTTTTTTACACTTTTTCTCATCTTCCTAAAAGTAGATGTCTTTAAGTTAATGGGGAAAAAGTAAAAGTAAGAGTAGATTTGTCACTTTATTCTTATTTACATACCTAAAATAGAAAGTGGAAAATCATTTTAGGACAACCAAAATAGGAAATTTTGCAAATCAAATTGGGACGGAGGGAGTATTAAAATGAGGCAAAGTAAAATGACAATATGATCACCAGATCAAATGTTCTCTGTTCCCATTCAACATACTTCTCCCTTATATAGATAAGATAAACTTTGTACGTTTTGTTTATGGGAATACAAATACTTATGGTACAAAGGACATTCCTTTTTCATAGTCGATCATATATACGGAGTAGTGTTTAAGGCATCTTCAATGTTAAGGTGCATTGCTATGACTTGGTAAATGTGTTTGGAGGACACTCATTTACTTTGTTTTCTATTTTTCTTTTTTTACTTTTGCAATTGTCATTCGCACTGGAGGGGTTTCGAATGGATCATCCTTTTTTGTGAAATTGATCCCATTTTAAAATAGAACTCACAAATTTTGACACATTGCCTACAATCCACTTAGAGCATTGGAGATACTTTTATATAGACTCCGGTCTATATTTTGACATTCGCAATTGTCATTCGCACTGGAGGGGTTTCGAATGGATCATCCTTTTTTGTGAAATTGATCCCATTTTAAAATAGAACTATACAAATTTTGACACATTGTCTACACCGGTCTCAGACCGGCCGATAATGGAGGGAGGAGGGGTCCCAGATTGGTATCTGGAGTTCTCGGCTCTAGTGGATTGACCGGTCTCGATATTATCCCCTATCTTTTTTTTTAATTTCAAGTTGAAAAGTTGAAAATTTATATAAATAATCAACAAATGGTCTATTTATTAGAGATAGATAAATGGAATTTAATCAACAAATGTCCCACTAAACACTCAAATGGTTGTATAATTTAAATTTCGAATGAAAATTGTAATTTAAATGGTTGTTTAATACTATTATGAATATAAAAACATTGAATTAATACAATACTTCAATGGTATGGATAAAACCGTACCTAAGAAAATGTTTGGGTAGCTTACCATAGATCATTGCTTTCTTGTTTCCCAAATACAAAATCTTCTAGCAATGAAGACATTGTAATTATAAAAGTATCATTTCTGTTTAAATTTCTCATTAGAAAATAACATGATTATAATTATAAATAAAATAAGATACTATGAGTATATTTGAAGAAGTAATTTTGATGGACATATAACATAATGAGGTCATTGATAATAATTTTGTATAACATCAAATTTTGATGTTATACATATTTATTTTTAATACTTAATGATTAATTTGTTATTTAGAAATGTAAATTATTTTGAAAAATAGCAACAAAAATTTAGTAGAAATATACCCCATCGAGGAAGCGGTCCAGCCTAACTGGTCACCGACTCACTCTCGTTAATGGGAGGTCCCGGGTTCAATTCTAAATGAAGTGAGATTGATCTCAATTTATCCCAAGCCCCCCAGACCCCTTCCCTGATGCCCTGAGGAAAAAAATAGTAGAAATATACCCCATATAAAAAAGAAAGCGATAATCTTTTTAAAATGATGTTTACATTTCGATCGGATGGATAACAAACACACTCAATCAGTAAGGCATGAGAGATGATGTCCACATTTTTTCGTCTCCAAAGTAACACATTCCGCCGTGGTCGCATACGATCTCCGGTATCTTCCTCTACAGTAAGTGGCTAAGAGCACCCAAATGCCGCCGTGTCTCATCCTCTCAGCCACCGCGCCTTCACCTCTCTTATCCGCATTCGCTATCCCCACGCCCAACCGCGTCGGAATCCACAAGCTGACTTGTGCATCTTCGCAGGTTCACCCGGATGCGCCACTTTCCGACCACACTTCGGCATCGAAGACCGGCGTCATTGTTATCGGTGGTGGCCTAGCTGGCTTAGCTGCCGCTATTCGCCTCCAAGCCGAGAACATTCCTTTTGTCCTGTTCGAAGCTTCCGACGCTGTTGGCGGCCGCGTCCGCTCCGACGTTGTTGACGGTTTCATCCTCGATCGTGGATTTCAGATTTTCATCACGGCATATCCCGAAGCCGCAAGGCTGCTAAACTACGAGGCATTAGAGCTTCAGAAGTTCTACTCGGGAGCTCAGGTTTACTACGGTGGCCGTTTCCACACAGTCGCGGACCCTCTCCACCACTTATCCGACGCCTTGTTATCCCTATCGAACTCTATCGGGTCTGTTCTGGATAAGATTTTAGTCGGATTGACTAGACTCAGGGTTTTGGCGCAGCAAGACGATGAGATTTTGACAGCCGATGAGGTTCCAACGATTGAACTCCTGAAGACTATCGGCTTCTCCGATTCGATGGTGGATCGGTTTTTTCGACCATTTTTCGGCGGCATTTTCTTCGACAAAGAGCTCGAAACGACGTCGCGGCTCTTCAATTTCATCTTTAAGTGTCTCTCCCTGGGAAACAACACGCTTCCAGCTAAAGGCATTGCAGCAATTCCGGAACAACTGGCGGCAAAATTGCAGAAAGGTTCTGTACGATTGAATTCAAAAGTAATATCTATCGATCTCGGATCGGCTTCAGATTCGAATCCAGCAATGTTTGTACAATTAGAAAACGGAGAAAAGTTTACGAGCGAACTTGGACTGGTCGTAGCAGTTGAAGAATCAGAGGCAGTTAAGCTTTTGATAGGGGAATTGGCGGGAAAAGAACCATTTGAACTGAAGAAACCAGTTAGAAGCACTGTCTGTTTATATTTCTCTGCAGAACAGGAGACAATTCCGATGAAGGACCCGGTTTTGTTACTAAACGGGTCGGGTAAAGGCATTGTGAATAACATGTTTTTTGTAACTAATGTGGCTCCATCTTATGCCCCACCCGGGAAGGCTTTGATCTCGGTGTCACTCATTGGGATGTTTGAAGATGTGAGAGATGAGGATTTGGTAAGTCTTGTTTTGAAGGAGCTTTCAGGCTGGTTTGGAGAGTCTGTGATTGGGGCGTGGAGGTATTTGAGAATGTACAGGGTCAGGTTTGCCCAACCGAATCAACGCCCGCCCACAAACTTGAAGAAGGACCCGAGGTTAAGACCAGACATGTATGTGTGTGGTGATTTTGTGACCAGTGCTACCTTTGATGGTGCTTTAGTCTCTGGGCGGAAGGCCGTTGAAGCTTTGTTAAAAGATCGGGCTTTGCCTCAGGTGTAATTACTTCAAACTGCTCTTACATACATTTATGAATAGTTTGGTTAAAAAATCATGACTACCCTTGCTCTAAACAAATTCAAGAATGCATTTTGTTTACCATGGAATCAATTATGAATTGACCGCTACCTTCTACTATGAAATAGAGTTTTCTTTAAGAATGAGCACTTTTCTCTGCCCTGAATAACTTCAGGAACTTACAGCTGCTTAGGAAGACTTTACATGCATTTGTACACGCACATGTTTATATTTGTTGTTAGACTAATGTTGGTTGCAGATAGGGGTGTGGTTTGGGGAGCCTTGCTAGGCCCCTGCCATGTATAAATATTTATAAACACGTGCCCACTTCAGGGCGGGGTCTGGGGCATGGGCAAGGGGGCATGCACCCGAGCCCATTGCTCCTGTAGGGTCCATAAATTTACCAGTTATACATAAATATAAATTATATATACGTTGTATATCTATAAAAATTTAAAAGTAAATAAAATTTATAATTTTTATACTTCCAATTCATTAATTATTCAACAATATCTAAATGCTATAAGTCTAAAATTTTGGAACACCTATACCAAAATTTATTGGGAACAAACTTCACAATTCTACTCATTCATAAAATGTCAGTGCATAAATATTAATCTTTTCATCTACTTCTCTCATGTAAATACATGATTCATTCACAGCAATTTACTAATTTTCTTTGATTCTCGCATTTAAGTGAAATATTAAATTATAGTATAAAGAATTTAGGAATTTGTAGTTTATTTTAGTCTAGTGAAAATATGATTTGAAATATGAAAACATTACTCCATATAACATTCATGTCTTTGCCTACTTCATTATAGGAAAAATAAACATTCACATGTTCTTAAAGACCTACTCTATTTATATTGTCCCGAGTCCATAAAATGTGAGGACTAAATTGTGTAAATGCCAGACAACCATGTTAATCTGTCTTGTAGGATCAAGTGAACAATAACAACAACATCTAAGCCTTATTTTTTGGCTGATTCAATACCTTTAGTTCACAATCATTAACAAGACAAAAATGCTAGATCAGTTATTCTCGATTACCTCATACATAGTGACGGAACCAGGATTGACAGGTTACAGGGACCGGGGCTTAAGGAATTTATATAGCAAGAGCCAAAACTTAAATTTTCACTATACTTTTTACTACTCATAAATATTTATACATATATAAATACATCACAATTTTTTTCTTGCAGGGGCCGTGGCCACCGCCAGCCTCCCGTCTCCACCCCTGCTCATACATGTCTTGCACGCTCCTTAATACCTCGTCTTCTTCGTAATGTAGTCGTAGGATGAAAATTATAACCCTTTTCATAACGAGTCCAATACTAATTATATTCTAAATTAGGAAACACATAATAATTTGAAATTACTAAAGTGCTTTCTTAATCAAATTTCACAACTGGGCTAATTGCGAATTCCACATTGTTTGGAAGTTTGGATGGTATATTTATTAGACCTTTAGTCCAAAGAATAAGATCGTTTTAGAGCTCTTATTGACGTGACGTACTACTCTATATTTTTATTTTAATTTTTTCAAGCACTTTTTTGAAAATCAGAATTATTGTTCACTGTCTTCCTCTAGTGATTTCTAACATCGCCAGACCTCTCATGTGATGACGGATTTAAAACACATTGCATACTTTGTTAAGAAATGAAACACATACTCTTATTTGAAAATGGGCCCGAGCACATTATCTTATCCATATTTTTCCCTAATAATAATATTTCAAGATATGTATAAAAATTTGTAAAACTATTTTCTGTCGAAACTAATATTGTCAACCCCTCATTTCCCTCACCAATGACGTGAACATTTTGAACTGTTTTATTTTTGGTAGTTAAATCATTCTTCTTCTCTGAGTTCTCATCTTGATGACATTAAAAATTTGTTTTCTTTACACAAATTAACGTTTCCATTGAAAAATTTTTACTTAGTGCCAATTTCTCTAATCTTTTCCTCTCTTTTTTCTCATATCGAGATTCAATCATTTTTATTACACCTTGAAATTAATTAAATTTACAAATTCAATTATAATTGAAAAGTTGTACCTAACAAAGTCAACAAACTATAACACCAGCACTCAATAGATAACAATTAACTATACATGAAATCATATAATAAACAAATCAAATAATCATATTAATCAATAAAAGAAGAAGTTTTAAACTCCAAAATAATTAATACGGAATTCCCTAAATAGGACTAAAATAAGGTAGAATTGAAAAAATAGGACTGCTATGTTTTATGGGACTAAAAGTGTATTTATTAACATGAAAAAATTAAACAGCAGTTGCCAAAATACACAAATATGATGAGCGGCATTCGCTAGGATGTTTCACACTTATTGTCTTCTCAATAAATATGCTGTATCTCACCTTTCACTGGTCTTCTCATAATAATGTCACCTTTCACCAGTCTTCTCATAATAATCTTACCTTTATGTAATCCCAGAATAATCTCACTTTTGCACCACATCTTCTTTCGTTGGACCATGACCTATTGATGTCCTACTATACCGGGTTTTTTACCCTTTCTTTAAAAATCTTATATAAATAATCTCACCTTTCACAAATCTATTCAAAACGGTCTCATGTTTCATTTTTTCTTTTTTCTCCCTAAAATTTTTCTTTCTTTATTTTCATCCCTAGACATTTTTTTTACTCTTTCTATCATTTTTTTCTTATTTCTTTTCCATTTTTATTATTTTATTTCTCACTCTATTAGCAGATTTTTTTTTTAATTTTCTCTTCAAAATAGCTCTTTTGGTCGTTTTCTTTTTCTTTCCGTGTTTTTATTTCATTTTCCTTTTTATGTTTTTCTTCTTAATCGTTCTCTTCTTATTAGAGATCTTTTTCTCACTCTACTTTTTATTATATTTTCTTTTAATTTTCACTTTCCAACTTTTTTCTTATTGTTATTTTTTTATGTATTTTATTATTTCTTCTTGTTAGCTTAATTCCATCATCAATATTTTTCTCCTTTCATCGTTATGGTATTTTTCTAAGTAAATCCACCCACTAATTTCATTAATTGTGGGAAAAACTCTATTTGATAAAATAATTATGGAAAAATAAAACATTTGAGAAATGTAAAGAAAAATAAAACATTCAAGAAAATGTAATTTTTTAATTCATTCATTTTTGCGAATGTTTTATTTTTCTTTTGATTTATTTTTTCCCTAATGCTTTTGTCACATAGAGTTTTTCACACAGTTTATGGAATTAATGGGTGGACTTAGTTAGAAAATACGATAATGTAGAAAGGAGGATAAATATATTGATGGTGGAATTAAGATAACAAGAAGAAAGAAGAAGAAGCATAAAAAAATAACTAGAAGAAAAAAGTGGAAAAGTGAAAATAAAAAGAAAACATGACAAAAAGTAAAGTGAGAAAAATTTCTTTAATAAGAAGAGAATGATTAAGAAGAAAAACATTAAAAGGGAAATGAAATATAAATACGGAAATAAAAAGAAAACGACAAAAAAGAGCTATTTTGAAGAGATTTTTTACAAAAAAAATATCCTAATAGAGTAAGAAATAGAATATTAAAAATGGAAAAGAAATAAGAACAAAACGATAGGGAATGAAAATAAAGAGAGAAAAATTTTAGGGACAAAAAAGAAAAAATGGAACACAGGAATGTTTTGAACAGATTTGTGAAATGTGAGAATATTTATATAAGATTTTTAAAGAAAATGTAAAAAACCTGATATAGTGACCATCAACTGGTCAGGATCCAATGAAAGAAGATAAGGTGCAAATGTGAGATTATTCTAAGATTACATGAAGGTGAGATGATTATGAGAAGATCAGTGAAATGTAAGATTATTCTTGTCAATTTTTCCTTAAATCTTTCTTCTGCCAAAAGCTTCTAGCAATTCCCGACCAACACTCCCCATTTTTAGCACTTCGTTTTAATAGCTTTAAGCATACTTTCAAAGTCGACTTCCACAAGTACTATCTTAAACTAATTATCATTACAGAGTATATAAATTTAATTTTCGTGAAAAGAGACAAACAAAGAAGATGCATGTTTAAGAGTTGTTAAAAAAAGCATTACATTTTACAACAAAAGAATTAAAATTAGTTGTGACCTCTCTCTAGCTATTGTTTTTGCTCTTTGATGAACCAAAACCAAATGATGATGTTACTACTCGTGGAAATATTAAGGGTGGCCATGGTTCCGGTCCCAAGACCGATCCGGACCAAATCACGTTTTAGCCCGAAGTTTTAAACCGCCTCCTCTCACGGAAATAGTGGGACCCTTTAAAGAGCTGGCCCTACTTACAAGGTTTGGGTCCATAAACAAAACGACGACTGTGATGTCGTCATGAAAATGCCTGCGCACGCCCCGGTCAATCTTCTTGAGGTCAGAATATCTCATCTCTCTTTTCTTTGCTGCTTCCTGCAATGCAGCTTTCACTAGCCTTCGAGCACTTCCCTGAATGGAGGATACACACATATAAGTAATGTCTTTCCCTGAATCTTTTGTGTCATTTTCCAAGACACCAAACTAATGTTTCCTATTTTAATAAACATTTTCCACCAACATGTTATTTTCATCAAAAACATATTCCAAGTTGGGGGTTTTAGAATGTTGCTATCAATGAATCCCTCTTTCAAAGATGCATTGTAACAAATCCAAGGTATTGACATTTTTTGTTCTTTTGGCTATATTGTAGAGACATTACATATCAGCCAAATACAGAAACACATATTAATAGGATTTCGTAATACACATATCAATTTGACCTTTTAGAAGAGAACTCAAAATGAGCATACGAATTTCATGGTTAGTATAGTCTGATGAGTCAATGTCTTGTGAAGCATGGAAGCGATCCATGGCCAAATACAAAAGTAAAACGATGGATGTTGCATAATTTTGGGCTCCTTTTCCAGTTCTTCTCTGGGTATTGGTTACTCTTTTTCAAAAACTCTTAACCCTTTCTAAACACTTGGAACTGAAAATAGTGCAGGGATCAGTTGTGAAAAAATTATTCTGAATCCTTTACTCATTCCCTATAACATAAAATCTTCTACTTCATAGAACATAAAGACATTAAATGCAATTCATGCTTCCCCAAACTCTTACCTGAAAATGAACTAAGCTCCAAACATAGAACCCACTTACGAAGTAT